TTAATAATAAATAATAAATGTTTACAATACAATATGGAAGAAAAAAACTGGGACCTTGTATTCATTTCTTAACAAAACGTTCCTCGCTTCCTTCTGTTACATTTGTGAATTGTCTGAGATTTTTAAAAAAATATTTAGAGGAAGCAGGTATGTTCCATGTGATGACAATACAACTATTTCCTTCAGTTTCCCCAATAATTACTTGAAAATTGCTCAGTATTAAAACTTATGTGCACATTTTCAAGGAACATTGTTCCTTTTTATTGCACAGATGATGTGCTCAGACAAAACTCAAACAACCACCAATTTTATTTCAGGATACAATCTGACATTACAGACAACCCAATTTAGTGGTAAATTTTCTGCTGAACAAGAGACGTGTGTCCTCCACATGGCAGTGGCATCAACACAGCAAGTTCCCTGAAGTAGCTGGGTCACCCAGCTACAGCCCCACAATCACTGAAGCTCTTACAGGGGTAGAAGCAAGTAGACATTTGTGGTTTGGAACAGTCAGCTAAAAGGGAGAAGGAAAGATCAGCCTTTTGGCAGCAATTCACTATTAGATCAGTTTATCTGTAACACTAAATTACACCCTCAGGAGCTTAATCAGGGACTGCGTGGTGCTAGTTCTTTTTTAATGTACTACTTTATACGTAAATCTTACCTCCATGAAAACTAATGGGAGCCTGACTATCAAATTCAGTCAGTCAGGATTTCACTTCTGTACACTAGTGGTGTGCAAGCAATAAACAATAATGTGAACATCTAGGTGGTTATGTTTGAATAATAAACAAAAGCTGGAGGTACTATTTTTCATAATCATGACAAGTAACATTCTTTCTCTCTAAATTAAAAGCTCATATACAAAAACATACATATGCCTAAACTATCAGCTTTTCAGAGGATTCTACGTACAACGGGAGCATACCAAACTTCTTGAGCTTGTGAGGCAAGTGTCAAGATCTTCTCAGAGCAAAGGAGATGCAAGTTAAGTGTACGTACTTCAGACAGCTCATTTTAGAGAAGGAACTTTAGGATTTGTTGACAGACAGTAGATGGCAATGGCTCCCTCAGAACTCATTATTCTATTGTTGGAGGGAAATAGCCTGGGTAAGCAACTATGGCCCACATTATCTCAAAATTTAGGCTTCCACAGCTGCTGTGATTTAAACTTTACCCATAGCTGAGCATGCAGATTGTCTAGAAACACTCACAGTAACTAGACCTACGAGATAAAGGCTGTAGTCATGGCATAAGAGCCTCACTTCAAATGTAGGCTGAGGACCACAAGCTAATCAGCCCTGACACAAATTTTCAGCTTTTATTATCATCCAACAGTTGAAAAGCATTACGGTATCATTTCTCTCCTGTGCTCCAAAGAATACCTAAAAGTTAGAAACACAATTTAACCATGAAAGAGGGTTTTTTTTCCAAGTGGGTATTTCTATGATCTGACCTTACAATTACACTATTTTTTTCAGGTATTTTATTCAATATTAAATCATTAATTTACTACAACCAAATGTGGAAGAAGCTGCAATGTATAAAATAAATAATGCATATTTATCCCATGAAAGATAAAAATTTGATCTTATATTCTGATGTGGACTGAAACATTGAAGAAGTAAATTTTTCTCCCACTTTCCCAAGCTAACAATGTGCACTTACAAAAACTTACTGAAGGTGAATGTTAACTCTTAAAACTTCATGAAAAACTAGAATCATGGAGGACAGACTGTTTTAACTGCATGACATAAAAACAATTTCAATTATATTCTCATATACATGAGAATTGAATTTGTCATATTTTAAAATGTATAGTTTTCGTGTTAATTCTTAACAAGACTATACAAGTAAATTAAAACTAATAAAACTCGATGCTCAGTTTTTCCTGAGGACTATATTGTGAGGAACCCAAAGGTACCCTTCCAAATTTAACCTTCCTCCTTTTCTCACTTGCACTTGAGTATTACATGTTATGCTGCAGTGGAAGGAATTTGCTTTATAGCGTTGCACAGATAAGACCAGTACACAAAGTTAGCAGGATTAAAAGTTGAATCTGTTATATGCATACTCAGCAAATTAATTAGTATTTTAATTCATAAAAGTGTCCAGAGAGCAAGGATATGAAAAATGCATCTTATTACTGTGTTGTATTACACTGTCTCTGTTACATTATACAGTGCTATATTACATTGTCTTACATGAAGAATGGATATTACTGGAATTTCAGACACACACATGTTAAATACAATCAATAACTGCTTCTATTTTAGCTATTACTGAGTAACCTCATTCTGACTTTTGAGGATTTCTAGTGGAGCAGGATATATTTCAAATATAGAAGTATTGTGCATCATATAGGCATCTTTAGCAGCAAGAAAATGGCACTGAAGATAAATACACAGAAGCAGGCTTTTTTTTTTTTTAATACCTCAGGTTTGCTGCTAGATCACGGAATGTTTTTCTCTCACCATTAAAGCCTCTGAAATACTAAATACTAAGGAAAGCAAGCTGATCTACTGATAGATCAACAGAAGGCATGTGAATAAGGCTTGCTAACAATAGTTCTTTTTCATGTAAGTGAGAGCAATTGGTATCCCATCTGGAAAAGCACACCACGACAGAGAACTCTTGCCACTGGCAAAGTTTATGGTATTGATTTGTAATGATGGGTTTAGGGTAAATGTATAAACTAATGCTCATTTACTTGCATAATTATGTATTCTCTACATAAAACCACAGGCTTTTACCTTGCCAATACTGGCACTGAGTTCATGGAAAGCAGGACAAGGCCACGGGTGGACCGGTATGGCAGTGCTGCTGAACGTTCAGCTCAGGTTACAGATTTGCTTCTTGCATGAACAATTAATCTGTACAACGTGCCATCTAATGCATTACCCTTCAGACTCTTAAGTCTGTTATTTTAAATATTTTCTTTGCGGTTTATCTTTGATTATTAATTTAAGAGGCAAAAAGTTAAACTGTATCTTATCTTCTTTGCCACTCAATATGTTAAACAGCCTTCATACCTTAAATCCACTTTAATAAGGCATGCAATTATTAAAGCATTACAGGATGGCCCCAGAGTACAAAAGCTCCATTAAATTTGCTTACATCTAATTACACCTGCCTGAGGCAGGTGAGAAATTGACTCTGATAAGATCTTTCTTTTACCTGTAGACAAAAAAAAAAAAAAAAAGTAAAAAAAAAAACCAGAGTGATTTTCTATCTAATTGCTATCTACAACTATTTATGGTATTCACTCCTTCAATGAATAGCCCACAAAGCACTCTTTGTGTGCTAACTAGAACATTTGAAAGAGTTTTCTTAAGACTGTAGAATACAAAAGAAGCTTATTTTTTATTTGCTTCAGGCATACGCCAGGTCATCAATGATGTCTACTTGTGAAACACTTATCTATTATTTAAATAATGTATTTTATTTCAATAATATTTCTGCTGTGAAAAAGCATGTTATATATTCTTTGTGGACTTATTTTTTCTTCATGTCAGAATAAGCCATGAAAGAATTGTATTTTATGGAAAAATAATATAAATATAAAAATGTACTTTACATGGCCTGAAAACTATTCTTTTAAAAAATATTTTTTATCCCAAATTTAAAAAAAGAGGTGTTTTATAGCAGAAAACACAACATTCAAATTCTATGTGCTTCTAACAGGCCTTCCAAAATTCAGGTAAACACTATTAAATTACATTGCTCATTATCTATAACTGAATTAGGGAATGTGGTATTTCTCATCATTCTAATCCCACTAGCAGCCCTAGCAGATCCTAGAGAACAATGTGGTGAGACCACCATACTGATAAAGTAAAAGCTAGTTAGGAACTACACCAGCTAATGACATATAGAAAACCAACCAAACTAACAAAAAAAAAGTCATGGAATTCAGCCAGTCTAAAGGGATTATAATTCAATTCCTTAAGGAGATAATATTTAAGGAGAAATTACTTCATTATAAAGTATTCTTTAAAGAAGACATTAGGAATTTGATGTGAAAGTTGCCCAGAGAAACCAGCTATTGGACTTCTAATGCAAGATTAGACCTCACTATTTTTTAAGCATACGTTTTTAAACACCACTGCCACTGATGCCCTTGTGTTTTACTAGCCATTATTTAGTACAATTGACTGCAAATCTATACTTAACCCAAAAAGAAAAGATCCTTTGATCACACTTTATGCTTAATATCTTGTGTGATACTCTTAAATGAAAAACTGCAGGGAGACCTGAAATGAACATATTGTACCATTAACATGTTTCTCTTGTGCTTCTTAGGGTCACAGAGCATTCAATAAATATTCCCATAAAACCTCAACCGACCTTATCTTTACGTTCAAACATGAAACAAGTATGTTATGTTTCATATTAGCTTGCTTCATTATACAAATCTCATTGTACATATTTGACAATGAAAATAAATGTTGTTCTGGTATTCTAAACAACTACACTGTAAATATTTTTTTGAAGGCAATGACATATAGCAAACTATGTTTGCTATATGCTTTACCAACTCAAAGACTGTTGTTACACAAAATGTTTTGGCCTCATATAATTACATCTTGTTTGACGTTAATTTGTTGTATTTCTATTAAAACTTTCACGGTTGCTTTATAATATTGTCTAGCCACCAGTCCGCATCATCTGTAAATGACAATACTGTGAACCACTGAATTATGCATGCATCTTTACTGCAAATCAAAACCAAACTAGAAGAAAAAACCTACAAATTTAATGACTATGATAGGAAGAATTACTCCTGGCTTTTCCATGTCTTTTCTAAGAACAAATTGCATACAGGTAAACTAATTCAGACATTATAACTGTTATTCAGCCACATAAATTTTGAAATCTTTCTTTGTTTTAACATTTCATATTGAAAAATACAGGAAAAAAAAATGTTTTCCTCTGTTATGTTGTGGATTTGTTCACAGGAAGTTTTGGTAGACAAGATTGCTCAGAATCTGAATACGTACCAAAAGCTGCCACTTTTATGATGATAGCTTGAATGTTAGATGATATCATTTCTTTAAGCAGTATTTCCTGGTTCCGACGCCAAAGGTAAGCTAAAGGCTGAAGATTAAGCCTTCTGCATCTTAAAACCAAATAAAGAATTGGATAAAGCTGAGCCTTACAGTTTTACACACCATAATTCACATAAAACTAAAACTAAAGAAAATTAAATTTATCTCATTTTCTACTTTTAAATAATTTTTCTTCTACAGTTTCAATTACAAAATTTTACTATTCCTATGTTTCAGTATACATATACATATTAAAAAAAAAAAATTTGTTCTGACTATAATTCATCTATGTGAGATACAACTCATTGATATAAACAGATTTGCACAGGAACGTAAGTAAAACCAAGAGAAAATGCATTCCTAAACCTTTAGGGATGCCAAACAATTAATACCTTAGGAAGAGCCTAAGTGCAAGTACAAGCTGGGCAGTAAATGGATTGAGAGCAGCTTTGTGGACAAGGACTTGGGGGTACTGGTGGATGAAAAACTGAGTATGAGGCAGCAATGTGCTTGCAGCCAATAAAGCAAATCATATCCTGGGCTGCATCAAAAAAGCATGACCAGCAGGTCAAGGGGGGCAAGTCTGCCCAGCTATTTGACTCTTGTGAGACCGCACCTGCGGTCCCGAGTCCTGCTCTGGAGCCCCCAACATATGAAGGACACAGACCTGCTGGAGCAAGTCCAGAGGAGGGTCACAAAGATGATCAATGGCTGGAGCACACCCATTATGAGGGCAGGCTAAGAGAGTTGAGTTTACCCTGAAGAAAAAAAAGTTTCTGGGGAGTCCTTATAGACCCTTTCAGTACCTAAAGGGGCCTCAGGGAAAAATGGGGAGGGACTCTCTATCAAGGAGTGTAGTTATAGGATGAGGGGTAATGGCTTTAAATTGAAAAAGACTTAGATTAGATATTAAGAAGAAATTTTTTTACTGTGTGGGTGGAGAGATGCTGGAACAGGTTACCCGGAGAAGTTGTAGATGCCTCCCTTCTGGAAGTGTTCAAGGCCAGGTTGGATGGGGCTTTGAGCAACCTGGTGTAGTGGGAGGGGTCCCAGCCCAGGGAATAGGGGTTGGACTAGATAATCTTTAAGGTCCTTTCCAACCCAAACCATTCTGTGAGCTTGTTATTCTATTGCTCTAACCGACCACTTCTAATGGACAGAGCTAAGGCAAGAGTTACTGCTGTGATAAATGTGACACATGTCACTAGTACAATATGTTGAATTTGTACAGTCAACAAACCTGTGATTTAGGTCAAGACCCAAGGGAAAGAATCATTCAGGAAAATGTATGCAGCTTGTGATGCAAAGTAACAACTTGATAATGTAAATATAATTATTTGTTTTGATACATATCCCATTTAGACAGCAGTTGATTACTTATCAAACTATACAATCACTAATTTGCATTATTGATAGGTAACCCTTCTGCAAATTGTGAAGAACCACCAGTTGGCAAAAAAATGTGTAATGTCTAGTTTCTGAAAAACTTAAAAACATTTAACTAGCTCAGAGCACTCAAAAATTACATTTAACTTTCCAATTATAATTTTTCATCTAATATATGGGCTTTCTCCCATATGTTACACACACCCACTAGTATTAGTGTCACAACTTTATAGTTAAACGGGTGTTTAATGTTGACATGTAAATCCACAGTTAGCACTCATATAATCTTGATGGGTTAGTAACAGATTAGAAACAGAGCAGTAAATTGTGAAATTAATAGAAATGTGTAGCGACTCGGAATCTGAAATAGTTAATTTAGGTGCCTAACTTGACCTAAGAAATTAACTGAATTCAGGTAACCAGGACAGTTTTTATGAATCAATTCTATTGCAAGGGGTAAATCTACAGATCAGTGTAAAATTTTTTTACAGCTGAGTGACCTTGAAATTATCAGGTCTGTTTGAAATACTGTGATGTCCTGTCAATCTTTTGAGTGTGGTAAAAGATCTGAAACCCACAATCAACCAAAGCAATCTTTTCTAAAATATCTAACAACATGATCAGGCAGTCATTAAAAAGTTTTAAGTATAACAGAAAAGAAAAAGAATGGAGTTATTTCTGACTGCAATTTACCTATGTAAGGTGTGAAGAAAACAACCATGCTGTTTAACTTACTGGTAAGAGTCAAGTTGCAACAGCATTAACTTCACCATTCTTATAGTCCACAAAGGATTACAGAGATTTGTTTTTATCGCCAACAAATAAATGACAAACTCATGAAATGATAATTTATCTTTAACACAGGATGGTTTTGCCTTTCATCAGACACATGTAGTGAAAATTTTTTCTAGACCCAGATGAAACCTTGGCCTATAAAAAAAACACACACTTCCCATTATATAATCCTTTTTTTTAAAGAAAGATACTCAGAAGTATTGCAGTCTATCCAGACTCAAAGAGAAGTAGAAACAACAAGTGAAAGCTCCTGATTAATGATATCAGTTTATAGATTTTAGAGGAAGTAAAGATATGCGCATGAGAATTCTCTTGCATTTAATTACTGATAACAAATCACAGGGTGTTCCTCTATATTAAAACTCTGTTGAAAAACAGAGATGCCTGACCACAACACTGTAGTCACTAGAATTGAGTGAGGTTTCTGTTGAAATCAAAGATATGAACCTACTCAACTAGTTTCGTATCAAAACTGAGTATTTTCAACAGATCCGTGAGACACCTCAAGAGCAATCCAAAAATCCAGTATAAACTCTACTGGGTTTTTACTAATGAACACATGGTTCCAGAAAAAAAGAAAGAAAAAGAATATTTATATTAACAAATGTAATTATCATAGAACATGAGAAATAAAGCAACTGTCTGTTCTCCAGGATATGAGTTAGAAAACAAAGAAGTAAGGCACTTTCCAGAACGTATGTATGGACAAAGATTAGTATTTTCTTACACATCTTCAACTCGAACTCTCTGGTAGTCAGAAAGAATGGCTCCCACAGATACACCCTCCACTCCTTCTTTACCCTGAAAGAAGACACAGAATATTAATTGTAGCTGTATATGTTGGCCTAAGCAATAGAGGGATTCAGTACCTCCACTAGCAGAATCAACCTAGAATTGTTTTCCCTGTGCCCAGCACATGGAACTGACTGAGCTAGATCTTTCACGGAACATGGCAGCAAAGCTGACCTACTACATGATTATTACTCTAAAACAGTAATCTACTTGACTCAAGTACCATTTTACAGAAGAAAGAGCCAAAGCAACTGAAAAGTATCAGATTTAATAGCTTATCCTAAAGTTTTCCTGACATCCTGAAAATTACTTCCAGATCTTCACTGTAACTAAGCTGTTAGCTATCTCACCTACTACTAAATACCAGCAATATAGATATGAATTTCAAAAACAAATCAGTCTTTGCCATGGTACTGAATTTGAAATAAATTTTCATTTTCTTATCAACAAAATGATGGAGAAGGTGTTTTATTTGTAATTATATTGTAAGGAGAAAATTCCTGTTTTCTGTTTGGGATATTCTTTTCTCAATCTGTTATCTTATTGTTCTTTATATTAAGTCTTATGTCTTATTTGCCCAAACAAATTCCTAAGTTATTAATATCCAATTATACTTCTGATTTAAGAGTCACCGTATTTATCAAAATTCCCAGCTACAGCAATCTGAAAATTTTATCACTTTCCAATTTATGTGCTTCTACACATCGTTAATGTTAACTATCATTTAACACAAAACTTAATGCCAAATCACACAAGATTCAGGTTGATGCTTTTCACATATCTAGAAGTAATAGCAGTGATAAAAATTAATTGTAGCTTATCTGTCACTTTTTCACTACCCACTGCCAGTATTACCATTATTATTATTACTTTTACCCAAACCATATTACTTCTGCTTCTCTTTGAGCTTTCTGTGCACAACATTTCAAAGCTCTTTTCAGAATAAATACAAATCACAGACATTTCAATTTATTCACCTCACCCATCTAGAATTACACTTCTTAAAAAGTTAGCACAGTTTTGTAAGTAGACTTTTCTTTAAATAAATTTGATAAAGTGATTATTGAAGCCTTCCTGGATCCAAAGTATATCCAAAACATTTTCCACCCACTCCTTTGCTCCATGCAGTTTTGACAGGCAATTTACCTGCTACAACTGCACCTGAGTTCCATTCTTCAAAGTTCCTTTTAGACAGATTGTAACATTAAGTTGCATAACAGTCTTGGAAAACATGACATCAAAGTATTGTCTATATTTTTATGTGAGAAGACTGTCGTGAACCAGTGTTAAAAATCTAACACTAACAATTCCTTCACTGGGCTCTTCAATGTTCAGATATCATCAGACATGTCCAGCACCATTATTTCTGCTTACACGAACAATCAATCACAGGCAATATATCCCTCAAAGGTATATAATCATGAAGTGGTCGATGCAGAGGATCTGACATCATGAACCAATATTATTGAACAATTAATGCATTAAATATTAACTGTCCACATTTCCAAGTGGACATTTGGAACACTTCAAACATCTTTCTGTATGAAGGAATGAAGCAGCCTGTATCCCTTTCCACTCAACTCACTATAATATATTTGGAATGGAATCACAGAATCAGAATGGCTAAGGCTTCTCCTTAGCTCCTGCTGTGAAGTTCATCCAGACTATCAGAGACTAAGACAATACGTGGTCATAAAACTGAATGTCTTCATAGATAGGGAGAGTATTCAACTCTGCAGAAATTATGAATAGGGGAAGACAAAACCAGAAAACCACACATTTATATGATCATAAAGCAGACTGGAGACTCAGAGCTGATGGCAAAGGAAGAGTAAAGCAGATTTAGCCTATGATCCAGAGAACAACAACCAAACCCACAAAGAACTTTATAGTCACCTCCATAGCCTCACAGTGTTAGAGATACTTAAATGTTAAATCCTTTTTCATTACTACTACTTCATATAAGGTAGCATAACAATGCAAAGGGTACAGCACATCTAATATGTCAAGAACCATGGGATCTGTGTGGGGTATCTGCAGCTAGCTACCAACGTGGCAACTACTACTGGCATTATAGCTATCAAGCCTGTTCAAATGCTAAGTATTTATTAGTTATTATGGACCATGCTAGGTTCAATGATCACAAGCAAAATCTGGGAAAACAAAGAATGACTCAGATTTTCTCCTTATTGAGATTACCAGAATTGGTTTGCTTTCATTAAATTAACAGCAGATGAATACATTAGTGTTACACTGTACTAAACAGAGCTGACTCTAACCTAATCATTACTTTTCTTCAGATTCCATTAAGACACAAATCAAATTGTTCTTATGAAGAACCACATTTAACAGAAAGTCACGAACAGAATACCAACCACCAAATCCTTGAGATTTTTTAAGACTTTATACAGATACGGTAACAGTACAGTTGACCTTCCTGGCTGAATCCATCACAACATGTTGAAAACATAACAGACTTAATGGTAAGACTGTGACCATTCCTTCTGATTTCAGTAAGATTTTGCTATAACTCCCTGCCTGCTCCAATTTACAGGACTTCACCAGGTAAAAAAAAAAAAAATCTTTTAGCATCACACAGTATATAATTTAAAGTATATTTAACTCTACGTGTGTATTACAGATTTCCTTGTATAGACATCCACCTCTATGTTTTCTTGATAGTTCTCTTTTTTGTAGTTGAAGATACAGAACATATGTTCTTGCAAAGCATAGTCCTTAGTTGTTAATAGCCAGAAAATAATTTCAAATTTTCTTGCCATCATCATTTAATCGTGATGCAAAGATAAACACTCTTTTCTGATCCACATGAAAGTCAATTCTTAGATTGCCATCACAGTTGCAATTAGTACTACCATCTACTGAAAGAACAACAGGAGTCAAAGGAACCCCATCACATCACTTAATTTTAATATTACAGTACTTTTCTGAAAGTGGGTCCATCCACAAGATCTGCCATAAAAATGCATTGATGACTCTAACAGTGAGATATTTCAGAAAGAACTGGTAGAAAATAAACTATTGGATGTACTATTCAGGCAGAACTGTAGAGAAGATACATTTAAGTAATTTCTCTAAGGTCCTTGTAAGAATGATATATACAGTATCTTTGATTAACAAATATTGTTTTTAAGAAAAAAAATATTCTGTTAATAATAAATAATTAAAACTGACTACATTTAAAAACTGTATTTGTTAAAAATGGACTCTTTCCTGCCACAAATTCGAAGACTGAGACATAGCTGAACTTCTGGAAACAGAATGTAGCAATGCAAATAATGCCTGCAGTGACCTTGGATTTCTTACCTTTGAGCTCTGAATTTCACCCTTTGGCAAATAATAGTCATGATCATGGAACTAAACTCTAAGATCTTATAGTCTCACAGATAATAAACAGAGGTGACCACACTTTGAAATTACTTCTATTTAAGGGCTTGGCACTAAAATTACCAATTTAAAAACACTGTTTTAAAGCACATGTTTTTAAGCTTCTATTAAGTATTAGTAGCAGCAATACTTTTTAAAAGCAGAAGAGCTCGGAGACCACAAACTACGTACAGATTCTCACCAGGGTCACTACTTAAAAGTATTGTTTTATTTTTATGCATCTGTCTACTGTACGTAGTAGCATTAAAATATGAAAGAAAACAAATGTAATACATTTTAAAGTTATTTTGAATTTTTATTCTTACTATAATTTTTAATAGTTAAGTTCACAAACTTTTCCAGTATGAAATTGTATTGCCACCAGTTTTTATATACAACAGAAGATAATTATGGTGGGGTTGTTTTGTTTTGGTTTTTTTTTGCTAATAGGTTCACTTGAAATATTTAGGTTTTTCTCTGACTATTTCTGTCAAGAAGAAGTTATAAATAAATTTTAAATGTTTGGCCATACTGGCTGGCTAGAGAATGATATTTAAGAAAATATTTCCAAACACCTGAGGAAAGCTCTCATCCAGTGTTCTATCAGAGTTTTTTCTATTTCTTTATTTTTAAAAAATGTGTGCTTACATATTCTGAAGAGCCAGACAAAACAGAGCATTTAATAATAATTTTCATTGTTCTATTCTAAGTTACCAGAGCCAAACTACCCTATGAACTAAGTTCCGTTTGAAGCATCCGATACAAACACAGAGCTGTACAACTGTCTCGTAACTAGATTAATCTCCATGCATACATAAATACACATATTCCATATGCCATTTTCCATATTCCTCTACCATAGAATCATAGAATGGTTTGAGCTGGAAGAGAACTTAAAGATCATCTAGTCCAGTCCCCTCACCAGGGGCAGGGATACTTTCCACTGAATCAGGTTGCTCCAATCCCAGCCACGCTGGCCTAGAACGTAACCTGAGAATGCTCAACTTTTCTTTCCTCACCAAAACAAATAACATGTTTACCATCATCATTTTAATATTTATTACAGTGCATGGCAATCTGTTGTTACCATGACAATTTCCATTATATATCTTTCTTCTCTAAGAATGAGAAATAAATATCAGAGATACAAGTATCAGAGATACAAGATGACAGTACCATAAACTTCAAAAAATATGCGATACTCATAAAGAAAAATATGTAGTGAAATGAATACCTGTAGGATTTCTTTTCATCATTTTCCAGATACACAGATTCTCAGAATCTTTTTCATCCATGAATACGGCAACTGACTTGCCCAATGCATTTTTTAATAAGCACATAGAACAATAGACATGATAATGTAAAAAAACTTCATTCTTTTTTTTCAAAGTCTCACAAAATATATACTTCAGTAAAGTTAGTAAGTAAGAAAACTCTCTCAAACTAAAAAAAAAAAAACAAACAAACAAACCTGGAAGTAGAGACTTAAGAGTGCTGTTCTTAAACAAACACAGTACTTCATCTATACTAAACAAACTGATCAGCAGACCTATTTGTTTGGGATTTTAAAAATTCTAGTCCAGAATTCTAGGAGCTTCCAAAAACATCCTATGGTAAAGAAATTT